TGGGGCTTACCTAGAGCAGCTAATTGTAAATTATATTTCCTTGAAACAATTTTATTCTTCCAGAACATATCGCTTGTCAATGAGCAGTAAATAAAGATTAAGGAAAAAGGTTGTAAAACTAAGCAAGACATTGAATTGAGGTTAAATCATGCATCAGGCAGCATTAATATATCCAATTTTATTTAACATAAAGTACTTAATTTCATATAAATCTCTTTAGAATTTCTGGTTAGGCCAACTTTTATCCCATGCCAAAGTCTGCCTAGAAGAAATTCTGTGTAAATATTATCAGAAAACGGTTGTGGATTCCCCTCGGTCTGCTGTCTCATTTTCCCGGTACCAACAGGTTGACACAGTCTTCGAGGCAGTCTCCCTTGGTATCAGCTAACAGGTGCTGAGATTTCGTCATTCATTTTTCTTGGCAGAACTCAGTAGAGCTGAAACTCATTATTTAAAACAACTCTGTGCTACGACAAAGTCAGGGAAGCTAGGAGCCTTATACTTACAATTTATATATACCCTAACAAAAATTGCTTTTTTAAAGTGTAGGCTAACTTTATTTCCGTGTTTAAAGAAGACCTCAATGAAATCATGCCGAGCCAGGAAACCACATTAATGAGAAAATCAGTCAAGACACTAAACCGAAGACCAGCTTACCTTCATATTTCTACATTCACTCATTCATCCCCAACACGAATGCTACCGTATTAACATACAACTTTTTAGCAGGCGTTTATCTTTTCTGGCCTCCTTTTCCCTTACCCAACATTTCTGTACATATATCTGTCTGTACTTTTCCCTTTTCCTTCTATATCGCAGGGCCAAACTTACCCTACATGCGGCCAGCCATCTCTCCTGAGCGCGTAATGTCGACGACTCTGTAGGGAACTCGTAGTCAGGTGCCGAAGGAAGTTTCGTTGACGTCGAGGCTGCAGTTGATGGAGCAACGGGCTCAATTGATGGCCCTTTGGAAAGTCGAGCCAACTCGGCTTCGCATTGCACCAACCAAGATTCAAGGGCGGCCTGACGAATGGACAGCTCGCCCCAGACAGCTATTGCCGAGGTGAGGCAGTGAAGAGTTGCTGTGAGCCTGGACTCCAGGCTTGACCAAGCCTTCTCGAGGCTATGAATCTACAAATTTTGGCGTTGAAGCGAAAGCGGTGGGGACAGTGATGATGACATAAACGAATAGAAGTGACAAGGTGCCATACGTCTACTTAATGGCTGATCAAACACATACAGAGTCGCGCGTAATTGTACAGTATTCACGTTTGTTAAGGCTTATTTCCCTTGACACTTTTGTAAAGTAATTAGCAGGGCTCAGGTCCATGCGAGTTTGACAAGAAGGCATAGGCGTTGGAGATGATGAGGCTAAAAACGATCTTTGACTACTTGGCTCTACAAGGCAGCCTAAGTCATCCAGTTTACATCACTATTCTTTCCGGCTCATTTGTATGGCCCAAATCGCCTCCTTCGTGGATATATTTGCAACTAGAGACAATCGTAGCTGTTTGTATATTCTAACTGGAATAGCATCAACATTTGTGCATGCAGTGTATTCAGTGTATTCAGTCGATTTCGTTTAAGGTGATAAGTGGGCTGATAGTCTATTTTTTTCCCAAAATGATATGAGTAGATTGTACATTTTCATTGAATTTCACATGGCTTTGCTTTCCAAAAGGTTTTCTCATCCAGGCAGGAATGAACTGCAGGTTCGACCTCACCTAGGTCCTATCAACACCTTCGGCGGGAGTCGAACTATGACAATGCAGTGTGTAATCTCGACACGTTAACCACTACGCCACATTGCCATGAGTGGCCTGTGGTCACAAGACCTAAGTGAATTTCAAGTAACCAGTAAGCAAAATAAGCTTTCCATATAGTATAGTGATCACCCGATTCTATGAGGTAGATACGGCCTTCGAAAGTGGATTCCTCCCCATAACAACGTATACTGTGGCCGAGATTGCGTATTTGGGTCACCGGAAAGTATGGATGTAGGAAATTAGTTGTTGAATCGTGGAAAGCCAGAATGGACGATGAAATGCGTGATAATATGTGAATGTAATATTGAGCAAAAACGTGAGGTGAACAGGATTCAGAAGTACGTGATGAACGAAGAGACTTGGGGATTATTTTGGTGGCAGGTAAACGTGTATCCAGCTACGAGGAAAACCAGGCAAACAAACGCTTATTCTTAATTAAACTCGATGATACTGGTAAAGAGAAAGTAAGGATAAAAACTATTGGTATATTTTAAATAGCTAATAGGGTTAAGCTGTGTCGCTTAAATTTATGGAAAGCTTTGCAGTTGATTTTCCATATACCGAACTAACGTTTCGAACTAGTTACCGGCCCTAAGCAACTCAGAATGGCTACAGTTTTTGCTTGAGTTTCCGACAAGGCTATCAAAAATGGCCATAATTCTGAGACATTAGGGTTTTTAATGGAGCTTAGTCTAATGGACGGGAGCCAATTTCGTGCCGTTAGCTATTTCTAGGAGTCAAAATTCGGCTTGCTACTGTTGGGTTGAGGAAGCTTTTATTAAAGTGATGATTGGATCTGGGCGAATCCCCAATATTTAATGCCTTAGTCAGCTCTGTTTTTCCGATTTCCAAGACCTGTAGTCCAGATTCTGTATACCAATGGTAGGTTATAATGAAGTAATGTGTAAAATTTTCATATCCAGGACTATGCCCTGATCATTAAAGGTGACACGTACTTTCTGAATGGATGTAGTATACTCGTTACCGCAAATTTATGAAAACTTTACTGTTTCTAGCAGAGACAATATAATTAAAGTTGTTTGAACTCTTTTAAGCAACTTGGTCCTATTGGTAGGAAGACTTAGAGGAACGGGAGTTAAGTGAAGGCATGATAATTTCCAGATTCTGACCGTGAACGTCTGGTACATTCCTAGACCTTTCGCCGGCATCGTAGTCGGCGTCGTCCGTGGGTCTTGCCAGTCTTAGCAGCACACTACAACTTGTCCAAGAGACAAGTGAAGCCGATCCTTTGACCAATTGTCTGCTAAGCAATCGTGCTATCTCTCCTTCCGCCCTGGGATAATCACCAATCCTATATCCTCGTATCACCCCTTCAATATCACGATTTTATTTTGCTTATTTAAATGTGGTATGGTGTGCCCTTTTGAGCGGCTTTCATGTGAACTCTCCACACTCAACACTGGCTTTCTCACTCCCTCACCCCCCTTCACCATTGTGCCGGGAATGTTGATCAGAGTCTACCATATTGTTTCGCAGTCCTCCCATCAGAATCTTCCTCTTGCCCCTTAGGATCCGTCTGGTATCTCCATGGTTCAAGCATTTCACTTAACCCTTGCCACTCTATCTGTGCTACTCGAGGTGTTATTTCCTAC